TAAATTAAAACAATATGAAAGCTATAAACACAATTCCAGGTGGGGATGCTTTATTTTTTTAAACAGTCTTCGTATTAAGCGCATGCGTATGTGACGTCATAACAAAAATGATTTCCGAAGTTTAATATTTATTAAAATGGCAAAAGAAAAAATGCAACCCTGTGTCACTAAGCAATTGATTTTAAAACGCAAGTTTCAGCGCGTAGACATTTGTACATTTGTAACACTATAGTGGTTCATATCGGGCCTTCCATGGCCACATGAGTCACGAGTGATCACATTACCCCCGTAACAAAGGTTTATTTCATGATCTGAAAGCATTCATCAGTGAACCCATTCCCTAAATTCAAACTTTAGCAAACAGTGAAGAAATTGATGTCATGCAAAATATGTGCTACTCATAGACACAAGTAATTAAAATAGATACTACGAAACACTGAACAGGCTGAGAGAAGCTCGAAAGGAACCAATATATTTATGTGGCTTCAGTAATATGGCTGGAATGATTTATTGTATTCACTCTATAGTCCTCACTTGACTCCTAATTATCATCTCTTTTCGGTCTCTCAAATGTAATTATTCCTTTGGTGATGAGGTGGAAGGTCAGCAAATACGGAACATTCTTTCAACTCTGCAGATGCATTGTATTTAGGTTGGGTGATATGTGATGTCGCGGTGATCTTACTGTAAGCAATTTTGTATCACTTTTATGGCAACATAGCTAAAGATTAAGCATTGATCAAAACCAGAAAAATACTTTGTTTTTTAAATTAACAATTTTAACAATGAAAGAAGGTATCAAATTTATTTTCGTTTTAAACTGAAAATTTCTCATTTCGATGATGAATGGACGTTCTAATATCTCCAGCGATTTATTATCCATTTTCTGTTAATGTAACGTTAAAGGCAACACATTTGCAACTTTACCTTGTAACATTGCAGACATGTGTTGAATCTGCAAAATAAAATATATGTTAGCCACCTCTATGCAACGTTACAAAAACGTTGTAGTAACATCATTTTGTTAGCTGGGGTGGTCATTACAGTTGCCTGATGCCAGCATATAACTGATATTATGTTATAGTCCAGAGTAACGAATGCGTCATACAAAGATTAAATCACTAACCAAATACTGCATATCTTTTTACGAAAATCATTCGCACAGGTATTAATCAGATTTTATTCCGCTTCGCTGGTCAAAGATGGAGTGAGTTCAATAGAATATGCTTTGAGCCAAATCGTGTCGTGGCTGAATTCCGCTGACCGATGAATAATATAATTTTTCTAGTTTCTTCTATATGCTGCGTGCGAACGGGGTAGCAATGTTCACTTCTGTCTCACGCTTCTTCAGAGAAATACCAACTAAACACTTCCTCATTTGTGAACACATTTGAGCCACATTTTTATTGAATTTTTGTCCGTGCGTTTGCGCTGAATACTGTTTAAATTTGGTGTTTCAATTTGGTGATGCAAATATCTACTGTCCTCAGGATTACTCTTCTTTGTTATCACTCATTAGTAATGTTTCTGCTTTCTAATCTTTTGTGTCTTAGTGGCTTTACTGCCTTGCTTGGGGTGAACTCGTTCAAACATATATATATATATATATATATATATATATATATATATATATATAAAGAAAGAAAGAACATTAAGATATATAATCCGGTGTTCTTATAGATATTTTTATTTTTACAAAATAGTGCTCAATGTAAATTTACAGAGCATTAATATTATAAATTAATTGATTTGAAATACGTTTTTTTCTACACAGTTTCTAAACATGTTTCAAAAAATGGAAGCTGAAAGCTCGAATTTAATTTTTGTAATTAAATTAAAGACATTAGTTCCATTTCATCCTCAAGCGAATTTTTGGAGTAACTTTTTTAAAATTACTGGGTTTTTAAAGACACAGCTAAAATCATAATTCATGTTTCCAAGGTAACAGATAAATCCACTTCCACCAGACAAGGGGTGTCTGCGTGTTCATTATGGCTGTATTTTGATGTATCCGTTATTAGTTACATTTTGGTAGGGGGTAGGGATGTATTTTTCAATGAAATCTGACATCCGTTAAATGCATGTCGTCAGGATTTTTTTTTTTTTTAATTTTATTGTTAACGGCAAAAATTCTTACGGCATTTTTTTCTATTTGTATATTTAAAGATTTTTGGCGGGTGTTTAGGTTAGAATACGTTTTACTACGATTTGAAAAATATTTTCACTTATAATTTTTAATATACTATATTTCTTTTAAGAACAAGTAAATGTATTAGAATCCCTTACATTATGTCGAATTATTTTCACATCAAGTATAAGTATTATTATTAGGTGACTTTTCATATTAATTTCATTTTACTGTAGGTGTTTTATTGGATTCTTTTAAGTGCTTGTAGTACTAAGAGGGAGGTCTTTAGGTTAGAATACGTTTTATTTAATTACAATTTTAAAAGATGTTTAGGTTAGAATTCGTTTTATTTAACTACAATTTTAATTACAACTTTAAAATATTTTCACTGTTAGTTTTAATAGACTATATTTCTTTTTAAAAGAAGTAAATGTATTAGAATTACTTACAGTAAATAAAATTATTTTTCCAATATTTATATCAAGTATAAGTATGTATATTACGATTTTTAAAATTTTATATTTAAATATTATTTAAGTAAAATTTATGACAATTACAGCAAAAATAGCTAATTCATTTCTCTGATTTAGTAAACATTATTTTTTTATTAACTTAGTAATATATAGTTTCTCATGTATGTACAAAGGATATGGGTCTTTCAATGGCCTACATCTAGCTTTTCATCATAATTTCATTTTTCTGTAGGTGTTTTATTGGATTCATTTACGTGCCGGTAGTAATTTGAGAGGGGTGTTTAGGTTAGAATACGTTTTATTTAACTACAATTTTTTAAAAGATGTTTAGGGTAGAATTCGTTTTAACTACAATTTTAAATACAACTTTAAAATATTTTCACTGTTATTTTAATAGACTTTTTTTTAATTTTAAACAAGTAAATATAATAGAATTACTTACAGTATATAAATTGTTTTTTTACGTTAAATATAAGTATGTATATTACCGAGTCGCACTTTTTAAATTTATTTTTATTTTTAAATATTATTTAAGGAAAATTTTTGACAATGACGGTATAAAATAGCTATTTCATTTCTCTGATTCAGTAACATTTTATTTTTTATAAACTTAGTAATATATAGTTTCTCATGTATGCACAAAGGACATGGGTCATTTAATGACTTACATATTCTAGCTTTTCTTATTAACTTCCATTTTATTGTAGGTGTTTTATTTGATTCTTTTAGGTGCCAGTAGTACTTCGAGAGAGATGTTTGATTTTTATATCTATTTATCCTAAATGAACTTTGATGTTGGTTGAATCTTTTTTTGAACTCATGGCTAGTGCAACCTATATATATTTTTATGTTTTCAGGATTTTCAATCGAAGAGATATTGCATTGGTATACTAATGATTCTGTGCAACATTTATTTTGTAGAGGGCAATTATGAGGGTTTCTACAGTTACATAACTTTTGTTTATCTTCATCAGTTTTTATTTTTATTTTTCCAATGTCTAAATTTTTTTGGTTTTGGCATAAGTGTTTATTTAAGATGTTAGCATTATGTTTCTTAATAATTTTTTCTAAGTTTTCTGTACAGCTATAACTCAATTTTAGTGTGTTTTTATTGAAAATAGTACTTAGTTTACTTTCACTAGGAAAATGCTTGACTATTAATGCGAGGAATTTATGTCCAAATTTGTTCTTTACCATTTGGTTGCATGGGGGAGTATACCAAATAATTTTTCTACATCTGTTTTTTCTATGCTTTCCATTTTCATTTTTTATATAAGTTAGTTTTGGGTTTTTGTAGCCACTCACTTTTAGAGCTTTATTATAGGAATTGATATGCCCATCGAAAATCTTGTCATTTGCTGAATTTGTACTAATTCTTTTACTGATAGATAATGTTTAATTATAGATGGGGGTGATTTGATTTAGGGTGTATATATAAAAGAATTGGTGTTGGGTTTTTTATAAGGTGTGTAAAATCTAATGTTATATCCAGGAAGTTCACTTTTTTAATTTAGTGCTAACCGTAATTTTTAAGCCCATGCTTTTAAATTCTTTATATAAAACCTTTCTAATTTTATCTATTTTGAAGTTAGTTGAATTTCTAATAACCATAAGACCATCGTCTCTGTACAAACCAATGTCAGTTATATTAATATCACGGTGCGCTGTAAGTTTGTATAATATAAAAAGACCTATGAGATCAGAAGATTTAGCTGAGTCAAGTGATCCCAATGTGATATCAAAGTGGTCATAAGAATTCTTTATCCATTGCTCACCTTTATGTATCAGTACTGATTTTTTCGTATATATAATAATGTTTCTCTGTAACCTTGGAAACGTGGATTATGGTTTTTGCTGTGTCTTTAAAACCCAGTAATTTTAAAAGTTACTCCAAAATTCGCTTGAGGATGAAATAGAACTAATGTCTTTACAAAATTAAATTCGGAGCTTTCAGCTTCCATTTTAGAACTGTGTAGCGAAAAAATCATATTTTAAATCAATTAATTTATAATATATATATATATATATATATATATATATATATATATATATATATATATTCATTTTCATTCGATACAAATCGCATAAAAAGTTGTAGAAAAATCGCATAAAAAGTTGGTTTGCTGGTTGGTTGTTTTTCTTTAGTGGCATATCAACACTTCTATGGGTTATTTAATGCCGAAATTTAAATACTTTGTTTGGAATTCTATTTTTTCTTTGGAGATAATAATGGTTTTAGTGATACAATTCTTACTAATCAATTAGAGGTGGATTCATACCTTCCCCAAGCGTAGTGGCGCGTAGCGTAAGTCAATTTAAAGAACCAAATCGGACCTGGAACTCGGCTATCCTATTAACAATTCTGAGCCATTATTCATTACACCACCTGCACATCGACGCTTACAGCACCTGGTATTCCCAAAAGGTCACCCATCTAGGTACTGGCCATGCTTGACATTACTTAAATTCTGTGATCGTACGGGAGCCAGTGTTTCAACGTGTGGCCGTAAGCCTGAAGGAATGTCAAATTTAGCTGATGCAAATTCTAAAAATTCAGTGCGCATTATGCACGATATATGTTTTTTTTCTAGAATTTAGTATTTAGGGATGCGTATTATACACGGATGCGTATTATACATAGGTGCGTGTTATACACGGATGCGTACTGTGTAAAAGTGCGTATTATGCACGAATAATTGCGACCTGTGGAAATGTTGCATACTAGTGCTGGTAATATACACATAATTCTTTATTTCTGGATTAGTAAATGTTTGTAGCTTATTTTTCAAACACTCGTATGAAATTTGCGAAACAGTGAAAATATTGCATCCCAGCATTTTAGTCAACAGATGAACAAGGGACAAAAATTTTGTTAGTAAAACAACAGCGATAAAGATACTCATCTAAATAGGCCATTTCAAACTTTTACAAATACTTAAATGTAATACGTTCTCAAAAACATATACGACTACATGAGTGTTTGTTTGTCATGTTGTCTTTCAAGTAAGACGTTTTCTTTCTTCATTTGTTAAGTCTTCTCGCTTAGAGATCTCACATTTGTGATCTGCCTATTAATCCTTCTCAAATTTAATCTGATCGTCGAGAAAGTCACCTTTAAGCCGTCGGTTTCAGGATTAACAATTCTGTGTCTTATCTAACATAACAAAGGATTTGAAACAAATAAACCCTCCAGGAAATCATTTCAAACTAATTTTGATTTTTCTTGTCCTCAGCGACTTTATCGATCTTTAGCATAGGTAGATATTTACTAAGCTTTGTCTGGAATAATGTCACAACAGTAAATTCTACTAAGACTCGAACCTACGACACGAACAATAGATGTAATTTCTTTTCTTTTTTTATAATAGTCTCTCACCAGAAGCGTTTATTCTTTGCTTAGGTTAGCATTGAGTCACAAATGTAAAGGTCTAATGATTACTTCGTCATTAGCCTGTTCGCTAGCCTTTCGCGAAAAGCACTCGTTATAGCTTAGCTTAATTTAGCACAAGGCCATGATAATGGAGCACTGATATAAATCAAGAGATAATGTGAGGTAAACCTTTTGCCCATCACTACATCAAAAACAACTTTCGTTATGAGGTGTGACAATTTAATTCCTGATATGACTGCAGTGTGTCGCGAGCGTAATGAATCAGGAATAGATTTGAACTTCTGATTTCTTGACATGCAAACTAGATGTGTTATTCGTTGCCGAGCAGTACAGGAAGTTCTATGAGGTTAATGTTATACTGTTGGTGGGGAAAATGAGTAAAAAATTTGGAACAGAGGATTAACATCAAGTTTTGTGTGAAGATTGGTAAAAGGGTGAAACATTAACCCTATTAAAAAATGCTTCTTTTAAAAATGCTTTGAAGAAATCGAGTGTTTTGAGTAATACAGCCGTTTCAAGACATGACGTGAAGATATGAATGATAAAGCAAAGCGTACGACGATAAACTACACCCGGCAGCAAACCCTCTGATCCGGAGATTGGAGCTTTTGAGGAGCGTGACCTCTTAATTACTGTTATTTCCAGGTTCAATCTGATCCAGATTGGTAGCACCTTTTAGGGTTCAAGCGATGTGCAAATGGTGACCCCCAAATCAAAATAGAATGAAAGTATGAAAATATAATTTAATAGTAAAAATACCAGCAATACATTATTATAATAAAAAAAAATATACCAACAATATATTTATGTAGTGAAATTACTAGCAATACATTTTTTATAGTAAAATTATCAACATTACCTTTTTTTTTAGTAGAATGAGTAGCAATAAATTTTAAAGCAAAATAATCAGCAATACATTTTATAGCAAAATGGCCAATACAATATTTTTAAAGCAAAATTATTTTGTTTGTTTAGTGGCATATCAACTCCTTATGGGTCATTTAATTTTCTTTGGAGAAATGTATTGCTGGTATTTGTACTATAAAAATGTATTTTTATACTTTCATAGTATTTTGATCCCAGTTTGGGAGTTAACTATAGTTAACTACTACCGCGGGTCAGGGTGGACCTGCGAACAACAGCAATTAAGAGGTGATTCCACGCTCCTCCAAACCTACCAATTTTGCTGCCGGATATAGTTTATCGTCATACCAAGGACGTTATAGCAAAAGGAGAATAAATACATTTTATAGTAAAACTGAAGACACGGCATACATTGTTGAAAAATAAAATAAAATTTAAACAAAAACAATTTGCTATGATTTATCTCATTTCTTGTAAGTTTCAAATTCTAGTCGGACTTTGGTAAAAAATTGCAGCTAAGTAATTAAAATTTAATCAAGGAATAATGTCATTCTCTTGAATTAATTATAAAGTTAGAATTTTCATATTTAGATTTGGGTATTAAATTACCGATAGAAGTATTGATATGCCGTTAAATAAAACTAACCAAACCATGGCGAAAGGTAGGCAGCCCAAAACACAAAGATCAGATGGAAACATTGGTACGCTAATGTTGAAGATTAAGTCTGTGATTTATAGCAGAAGAAATGAATATGAATGGGAAAACTGTGTGTCAGATTCTAACAGAGGATTTGGGAAGGAATGAGGAAAAATTCTTAAAGATGGCGCCTAAAGCGTTTGACGAGCAGAAATAACGTCGGCTTCTATCTGATCTTTGGATAACACTTTATTTCACAAGTTCATTACAGATGATGAAACAGGTTTTTTTTTTCAATACGAGCTGGAAAAATGCCACAACACGCAATGGAAAAGTATATGAGAAGACCAGTTCTAAGAATGTTTCCATCAATGGCACCATAGTTTCACGAAGTGCATAACTTCACAAGGGAGGTAATTTGAAGGGGGGATAACAGGTAAGAACTTTTCCGAAAATGTAATTTGTCACTGCACATATTTCCTAAAGGCTACAACAGCCGGTCAGACAATGAGGACTGAAACCGCAAAACCATCTCCAAAACAAGTTCCTTAATAGTAGACAAAGTCAGGGTCGTGAAGAAACTGACTCTCTGCATAGACTAATCAAATAATTGTTTGAATTTACATATAAATTATATATAAGACTATATTAAATCCATTGCCAGGTCAGCTGCTAAGAAAGTTGGTTCACTGTGTTGGGAAAGACAATTTTTTCTCCAGAATCTATCTTACATATCTATCATCTATGCTTAAAATATTGCTGCCACATTCAAACTAGGTAGAGACAATTGGCGAGATTTGTAACATTTTGAAATTATGCAACAACGCTATTTTTTAAACCAAGCTGTTAGGAGTATGTGATGAAAGCACTTGGAGTGCATTTTAGGGTCATAACTCGTAGAACTAATGAATGCTGTGAAGTAGGCAAAGAAAATTGCAAGGTAAGCGAGGTGTGACTTTTTTTTATATACATTTAAAGATGCAAGCTCTTAAGTTATAATTATTATATTTATTATTGGTTGTCTTAGTTGTGAGTATTGCTTAAAGATCATCTATCTATCTATCTATCTATTCATATCTATCTCAATCTTTTCATATATATCTGTCTGTTCATGTCTATCCATCTATCTACCTATCTATCTCAGTCTGTTCAAATCTATCTATCTATCATTTCAACTTGTCCATATCTATATTACTCTGTTCATATCTATGCAGTTACGTAGATATGAACAGAATTTTATATCATTGACGAAGTCATTACATTCGTGTTTCTAAGACACATCTGTAAATTGCATTACTGTGACAATCACATCCGAAAGATTGCATATCGTATTGTTGATAATTTTCAATCTAAACTTTGCCCTCAAAGTATAGTCAGAAATAACTTTTATCGATTTTGTAACGGCAATATACAAAACTTTCAACAAGTACCTCTCATATTTACACTCCCAAAAGCGTGAACCATTATAAGCAGCTGCATTATAAGTTGTTGGTCCCACATGTGTCCGCGAAACTGTTCTTTCTCAAGTATTGCTTAAAAGGTTTCTAAAGACATGGCGCTTGAATGTGAACAGCAAATTCTTTATTAGCAAGTTGTGCGTTCGATATACTGTAGTGCAAAATCATTGATGTATTATATTACATAAAGGCTAAATAGGAAGAAAACCTAAGTAATTCAATGTGGCAAGGCACATTGGCCGACTGATATATTCCCCTGCCACTGGAAAAGATGGTTATCATCAGTAGCTATTCCATTTTTAGTAGTAAATGATACGCAAAACGTACTTTTTTATACAAATAATAGGACGTAACTGTTTCATAGCAAAAGGTTTCATTCTGGATCCACCGATTTGGTTTTTTCTCCACCCATTCTGGTGACATTGTTTCCGAGGATAACAGCGCGCACAGAACCTAGTATTTACCTTAGCCATTAGAAGATAGGGAGTTCGCGTCATATACAAGAAAAAAACAATCTACTGTAAGTTGTAATGCATTCCTTCTATCATTTTGATTAATACTATATCTTCAATGTGTGTCATAACTGCGGAATTTAACATATCAAAATGAATTACGCCAGACCGGTATACCCGTTCTAATTATTATTGGAAAGAGCGATAACAGTTACTGGACGTGCAAAAACCATTTTCCTTAAAAATCTTTGTAATAGAAATATTTGATAAATTTCACACAACAACACTTGCTCCTCGAACAATGAATAGCGGATATTTCCATACAAGAAAAAGATTAATATTATATAATATATATATATATATATATATATATATATATATATATAGAGAGAGAGAGAGAGAGAGAGAGATATGCATGTGTGTGTGTGTATAAAAGTGGACACTGAGGTGAACACAGAACGGCGACAATCGGTTGAAAAACTGTTTGAACGCAGTCTTCAAGGCCTGAACGTTACGTTCAAACATGTAACATGTCACCGCTCGGTGTTGTCCACCATTTACATGCGCTCTGTCCCTGATATTCAGCACTTTAACCCATAAATACGGTATATCTTAAAACTATATCATTATCATATATATATATATATATATATATATATATATATATATGTATGTATGTATATTAATGCATGTGTCATTAAATAAT